TCAGCCTCCAGAGTGGCTGGGACTACAGTCACACACCACCATGCCCGGCTAATTTTTGTATTTTTAGTAGAGACAGGGTTTTGCCATGTTGGCCAGGCTGGTCTTGAACACCTGCCCTCAAGTGATCCACTCCCCCCTCAGCCTCCCAAAGTGCTGGGATTACAGGCATGAGCCATCGTGCCCAGCCAATTAACCATTTTCATAGACAGAAAAATGCTGTTAGCAAATGAAAGATGTGAGGCCTAACACCTGATGATAGTCAACAGCTCTTGGGGCTCAGAGAGGACCTGGGATTCTGTGAAGGCATTAGAAATGAATACTCTGCCCTTCTCTCGGGTTATTGAATAATTTGTATCTTAAATGAGTTTGGTAGGAAAATGCTACTCCAATTCAGGCAGAAGAGGAGTCACTGGTAAGATTTTTGCCCCAGAAGGAAGTGGAGATTAGTCTAGCAAAACACTGCAAATCCTTTCCTGTCCCCTGTAAGATGGTCACAGTGGCCGAATTCTCTGCCCTGGGAGCATGCTTGACTTCCATTTTCAAACACAAGAGAAAACAAACAAACTTGAGCTGCTTCACATAGCCTCAAATAGCTTTTTCCAAAGATGGGCGCCATCCCTCATCAGGTGGGTTTTTGAGGGCCCAGACCACAGAAACCGTCTGGGAGTCTGTGCTCAAAAGTTCAGAACAATCCAGAAATTATTTCAGCTGTTTTCATTTTATAAGTAAAACAAAAACACCAAGTAGGAACAAACAAACACATGCTTCCATGCATCTATTTTTAAAAGAAAAGACAGCTCTGCCCTGACTTTTCTTTTTTTTTTCTGTTGAAGTTCAGGATCTTACATATAAAAGTATAATACAATGCTGGAAACTGAAGAAGTCCCAAAATTTCTCCTCCTAGAGTATCACCTAGCTAAATCTAAAGCATTTTAGATCCTTGGTCTCCTCTTTCTGGCCCTGGATCAAGGGAACACATTAACCCTTGCTATTCCACCAACATCCCCAGGGTCAACCTTGGCCCACTCAGCTCTGCCTTTCCAACTATGATCGCCCTCTCGTGGCAAAAGCGTTAACTGCAAGCTACTCAGCAACTTGATTACAGATGGGGGGAAAAATGGTCAGCTTGCCCACTCTGCTTTCTTACGTGGTTTCTAAGAATACACTTAAAATGAGAAAACTGGAAGATTTGCATGTAATTGATGTAAGTAGAGGAAAACCTACATTAATAAGCTGAGGCTGGGTGCAGTGGCCCATGCCTGTAATCCCAACATTGTGGGAAGCTGAGGTGGGAGGATCACTAGAGCCCAGGAGTTTGAGACCAGTCTGGCCAACATGATGAAACCCCATCTCCACTAAAACTACTCAGGAGGCTGAGGCAGTAGAATCGCTTGAACCCCGGAAGTGGAAGTTGCAGTGAGCAGAGATGGAGCCACTGCACTCCGTCCTGGGCCACTGAGCAAGACCCTGTCTCAAAAAATAAAAAAATTAAAAAAAAAATAAAGCTGAGCTTTTATACCCTTTAACTCCTATTTAAAAGAATATTGGGGTGAAGCAGGGGAGGGTTGGTCAACGCATAAATACAGAGAGCATATTGATACTGCGTTGCAAAGAGCCCCTTAGGTAGCATTCGGTCTAACTCTCCTATTTACCTCTTAGGCCTCATAGTTTGTGCCTAGTCCTAATCTTCAGGGATGGTTTTAGAAGCACAATGGAGTGTTCTTGTCATGCTGGGCTTCTCATGGCTTCCTAAGGGGCACACTTTGAAAGACAGTCTGACTAGTTTAAGTAGGACATACCCACCCAGGGAGCACCCACAGGCATGACCTGTCACCAGAACACACAAACGGCCTCATGCACTGGGCCAGATTTTGTTTCTTAAAGGCTAAAACCTTATTCTCAACAAAAGAGTGGGACCCATGCCTATTGTATAAGTCCTATGTCCCCAGCATCGGACACAGGGCTTTATACCTAGCAGGAGGGCAAGAAATACTTAATATATGCATGAGGCAGGGTGTGGTGGCTCATGCTTGTAATCCCAGCACTTTGGGAGACCGAGGCAGGTGGATCACCCGAGGTCAGGAGTTCAAGACCAGCCTGGCCAACATGGTGAAACCCTGTCTACTAAAAATATAAAATTAGCTGGACATGGTGGCACACGCCTATAATCCCAGCTACTCGGGAGGCTGACACACAAGGATCTCTTGAACCTGGAAGGTGGAGGTTGTAGTGAGCTGAGATTGAGATCGTGCCATTGCATTCCTCCTGGGTGACAGAGTAAGATTGTCTCAAAACAAACAAACAAAAGAACTACTTAATGTATGCATGAGTGACAGCGAGATGCTGAAAGGGTCTTCGGGAAAGCAAGCACAGTGCTCATCTCCAGGGTACTTTGATTGCCAGTCCTGATTTCCCACAGGAACTAAAAAGGGGGATTTAAAATGCTGCTCTGGGAATCCTTACAGTTACCAAAGAGGCGCCTTGGGGGCTGGTCCCCAGCAAACTTCAGTAAAGAAAGGATTCCTCTTTCATAAATTTATATAGTGAGCTTCTCTGCAGGACTCATATTAAGGAAGGGTTCCGTTACTAAAACAGCCAGGAACCGCTGTTCTAGGTCACTGGCCCCAGCACAGTAACAATGGACTCCAGAGAAAAGGTTCTTCTCTGACCCAGAGAAAACAATGATAACTAAACTATAGGAAAAAAAAAAAAAACTGAATAGAAAATCATTAACGGCCAGGTACCATGGCTCACGCCTGTAATCCCAGCCCTTTGGGGGGCCAAGGCAGGCAGATTGCTTGAGCCCAGGGGTTTGAGACCAGCCTGAGCAACATGGTGAAACCCTATCCCTACAAAAAATACAAAAATTAGTTGGGCATGGTGGCACACACCTGTAGTCCCAGCTACTCTGGGGGGCTAAGGTGGGAGAATCACCTGAGCCTGGGCAGTCGAGGCTGCAGTGAGCCCTGATCACACCACTGTGCTCCAGCCTGGGCAACGGGAATAAGACCCTGTCTAAAAAAAAAAAAAAAAAATTGTTGAAGGGAAAAAAATCTGGCCAGATACAGTGGCTCATGCCTGTAATCCCAGAACTTTGGGAGGTCAAGGCAGACAGCTCATTTGAGGTCAGGAGTTCGAGACCAGCCTGGCTAACATGACAAAACCCCATCTCTACTAAAAACACAAAAATGAGCTAGGTGTGGTGGCACATGCCTGTAATCCTAGCTACTTGGGAGGTTGAGGCAGGGGAATCACTTGAACCTGGGAAGCAGAGGTTGCAGTGAGCCAAGATCCTGTCACTGCACTCCAGCCTGAGTGACAGAGTGAGACTGTGTCTCAAAAAAAAAAAAAGAAAGAAAAAAAAATCAGACTATAAGTTTGACAGGACTAGACAATTTTTTTGGGTGAGTGGAATGGATATGCAGGTGCACATAGCAATGGGGAGGGGAGGAGGGGTGTCTTTTAATCACACAGAACTCTTCTGGGACCCTTTCCCACTGGAACTCAGTGGTCCTGGAGGGAAGGACTGCTTTGTGAGCTAATACGAGTGGGTACTGTCTTCCTTCCCTGGTCTTGCCCTTCTCCTTTCGATGCCAGCTCTGTGTTGATGGGTGTGTGTGGTGCCCAGGAGCAGGAGAGCTCCCAGACAACTCACTTAACCCTCTACTGCTTTGCCTGCCTCCAGGGTCATCACAAAGGTATTGGAAAACCTCGGACAGGGTCTTCTCTCTCGTGACACAGGCTCTTGGGCTGCCCAGGCAATGCCCAGGAAGGAAAGGGCTGTCTGATCTTACGTATGGAGATTAGACATGAACTTGCTACCTCAGTCATATATTTGCTTAACTTCAGCTTTGCGGGGCTGAAAATGCATCCCTAAAGTGAAATAGTTAGGTTCGCCAGAGAAGAGATATGGCAAAGGGACTCTTCTCTCAACTATTAATAGTAGGCAATTCAAAGTCAAAGATATAGTACACATCAAATTTATTTACTGTTTTTTCTTTAGTCCTTTAAAGTTCTTATTTTATTTGGTTTTAATTTTCCAATATATGTGGCAATAATGTAAACACATGACCTTGAGCACAAAGCAATAAGAAAATGTCAAATTAGTAATAAGAAATGCTCCTGGATAATCTCTAGAATGTGCAGCATCCTTTGAAGTTAAGTTCATTTAAAAAATAATTCAAATGCTGAATTAAATAAGCAAATTACAAGTGGTAAGCAAATAGCCCAAACCAGGCACTGTTGCTGTTGTTTTAAAGAAACAGGGGTCTCACTGTATTGCTCAGGCTGGAGTGCCGTGGCTATTCACAGGTTCAATCACAGCTCATCACAGCCTTGAACTCCTGGGCTCAAGTGATCCTCCTCAGCCTCCAGAGTAGCTGACACTCTAGGCATCTGGCTTCTGGGTTTTGAGAATGGTGGGAAGCACGGGCATGGTAGGGAATAACTAAAATAACAAACTGCCTCTCAAATCTGCTGAGAAATATTAGCAAAATAACTAATCTCTACAAATATGAGATAAATCCTAATGGCCTGAGTTTTTCTGAATCAGATTCTGGAAAGAGAATATTGAAGTGCTTGTGCTGTAAGGACTGACCAATCACAGGTGCTGGTTACTTAAAGGAGTAACAAGAATCATCCCTAGTTATAATGTAATGACTTGTGGGCTGAGGCCACTGCATACAGTGATTGTAGAAGAGAATTTTCCTGGCTAAACGGAAACAAAGTGCAATAAATAGGCTTTAATCCTATTTTATTTAATCTAAAAATAATTTTTGAAGGGTCAGGAGTCGAGATCTCACTCTGTCTTCCAGGCTGAAGTGCAGTGGCATGATCATGGCTCACTGCAGCCTTAACCTCCTGGGCTCAAGGGATCCTCATGGTTCAGCCTCCCAGGTAGCTGGGACCACAGTGCTCAGCTAATTTGTAAATTTTTTTGTAGAGACACGGTCTTGCCATGTTACCCAGGCTGGTCAAACTCCTGGGATCAAGTAAGTGGTCCTCCCATCTCAGCCTCCCAAAGTGCTGGGATTATAGGCATGTGCCACTGCACTTGGCCTGAATGATCTTTCATTCAGTTACTTAAAATGACACTTTTAGTGGGGGCATAGGAGCTCATGCCTGTAATCCAAGCACTTCACAAGGTGAAGGCAAGAGGGTCCCTTGAGCCCAGCAGTTGGAGACCAGCCCATGATCTCACTAGCTATGGTGAGATCCCATAGCAACAACAATTTTAAAAATTAGCTGAATGTGTGGTGTCATGTGCCTGTGATCCCAGTTACTCAGGAAGCTGAGCTGGGAGAATCACTTGAACCCCGGAGGTTGAGGCTGCAGTGAGCAGTGTTCACACCACTGTGCTCCAGCCTGGGTGACAGGGCAAGAGCTTGTCTCAATCAATCAATCATCAATCAATCAATCAATTCAACATGAGTGAAACCACAGCACTTGGGACATCTGGAAGACTGGACGCGTGAGGCCTGTCCTACTTGCTGAGTAGTCCAACACCCTACCCCCAGGTGATATGCAAAACGGGTCTTGTGCTAACATCTTTACCTTAATTTTCTGATTTGAAATGACTCGTCTCCCCTTCTCCACTGCCTGTTTCTCCAAGCCAGGTTTATGGGATTTAAAACTCAGACCCTTTGGTTTCTTTAGTTGAAGTTTGGTTGATGGAATAAATATTTGGCATTTTAAACAATGAGCCAGTTCCTTTGGGAACATGACATTTCATCCCTACACAATGAGCAGCTGGAACCGGGCCAGTCCTGTTGCAGCTTTCCAGAGGCTGGATGGGTGGTGTGGCCAGTCGGCCTCCTCTTGTCCTGACCTGCCACAGGCCACCAAGCCCTGGATGTTCATGTCCTGCCAGGAGGGAAGCCTCAAGTCTGCAGAAGCAGCAAACCTCGGCCTCCGTGCCACCTGGCCTAACATCTGTGTGCGTGTGTGCAGGACACTTTACCTGATGGGAACGGAACTAGATGGTCCCTGAGGTTCCTTCCAGCTCTGATTACAAAGTACAGAGGAAACCGTGAATTTGCCCACTATTTCGCTGTTGCAAACTGAAAAGTGAGGGCAGAGGAAAGGAAACTGAGTTAGGAGGTAACTCCTCAGGTCTGACCAAGGTTTGCATTCTCTCTGTGGCTGGCAAGTGGCTTCTACCTTTCCTTCGTTTCAGTTAGTGTAAAAGGAATCACGTGGACAGCCCTAACGGAAGGTACTGATGCTCAGATCTTTTCACAAGCTGTTGCTCATCTGATCCTCACAACAGCTTGGTGAAGGAGACACGTAGCTATGTCCTGATCTCCATTTTTATAAAGGAAGAAACTGACTCCTGAATGCTAGAGAAAAAAATACAAACTCAAACCAAACAAACAAAAAAATAAGGTTGTATGGTCATTCAGCACATTAAAAATCTGGATGCCAGCCAGTCCTGTTCCAGCTTTCCAGAGGCTGGGTGGGTGGTGTGGCCAGTTGGCCTCCCTCTTGTCCTCATCTGCCACAGGCCACCAAGCCCTGGATGTTTCTGCCAAGAATACACACATTTATGTTTGAAGGCTGAGGCGGGTGGATCACCTGAGATCAGCAGTTCGAGACCAGCCTGGCCAATGTTGCGAAACCTTATGTCTACTAAAAATGCAAAAATTAGCCAGGCGTGGTGGTGGGTACCTGTAATCCCAGCTACTTGGGAGGCTGAGGCAGGAGAATCACTTGAGTCTGGGAGGTGGAGGTTGCAGTGAGCTGAGATTGTAGCACTGCACTCCAGCCTGGGCAACAGAGCAAAACTCCGACTCAAAACAAAAACAAATTGAAGAGAGAATTTTTTTTTCTTATCCTGTCTCACTCTCTAATACTTTACACTAATAACTTTCAACTACATATTAAAGAGCCCCAAATTTGGGGGAATTGGTGGGAAGAAGAACATATTTTCTAAAGATCATTACAGGAATGTTTCCCATTTCACATGCCCTTTGACACCAGGTGGGATTTTTTGGCAGAAGCAATGCTGTGTGACCTCCGAGAGTACGTCATGGAAGATAGTGCATCCTCCATGTGGTTCATGGGAACATTCTCTCCTGAACATTCCCTCCACCTTGTGAGCAGCCTGACTGCCCCGAGGCCACCATGCTATGAGGAAGCTCAAGTCACGCCATGCACAAAGACCACAGAGAGCGGCTCTGAGGCTCCATGAAGAGAGAGAGATGCCCAGCCAACCCCCAGTCGCTTCCACCCCTCTATCCCCCCTGTTCAAACCCTCTGTAGCCACACAAGAGGTCCTGAGCCGGAACCAACCAGCTCAGCCTCTGAATTTTGGGGTGATGTCTTTTGTAGCAATAGTAATCCAAACAGGTCCAAGCTTCCCCTTCAGTCAGAGCAGAAGCACTTTCATCTGTTTTATGTACCTGAGTTTTCTCATTAGTATTAGAACCATGATTCACTACTTTAAAAAAAAAAATTGAAGGCTCTCTTTAAGAATGGAAGAAGGGAATTTCAGCCCCGCTACCACCTGCTGGAACCACGACATGATGATGACAAAATCTAACTCTAGGCTTGACTAGTATCCAGCACATATTTTTAGATAAAGAAATAATTACTTATGAGGTAGGGTAAAGCTTGTAATGAAAACACATTCAAGAGGAAAAGATCTTAATTCACTAATTGCTGACAATTTTCATCTTAACACAATACCTTTTAAGAAAGAAAAGGTGAAAGGATTTGGGGAAAGTACCATACAGTCACTCCAAATAACATATAGGAAAGGAACAGCTTATTGGAAAGCCCCTGTTAAGAAAACGTAATCCCATATAAGTTACTATAGCTAGTGCTCGATTTATGACCACGGTCGGGACCGTGGACCGGTCGTAACATGATTTGGTCGTAAGTTGAGTAGGTTATATGTACAGTTGAAATGGTGCACGTGGAGATGGTAGTGCTGCCGGAAGCTGGTCCGCACTGTCGTACGCCCAACTGGGCAACGCTTGCACAGCCAGACGTGGATTCTGTGTGTGTGGCTGGGGTTGCAGTTATTCTAAATTTGGGCATGAGTTGTCCTAAGAATGGAAGATTTTTTGTTCTGTAATTCTTCTCTACCAAACACTTTAGACCTGTGGAGATGCATTCCTAGAGGGTAGAGGCTGAGGGAGTATTGTGACAAAGCAGAAAAAAACAGTAGAGGTGTCAAAAGACCCTAGCTCTGATGCTCAACTTCCTGTACCTTGAAGGAATCACTTAATGCCCTGCATGTCAGTTTCCTCAGTTATCAGATGCAAGTGGTAAGAGGTGGTACGGAGCACGGTGAAGTCACTCCCATAGCCACACTGCCCATCTCACTAGCTGCAACTGACAAAATAACTTTTGCCTCCATTTTCTTATCTGTAAAACAGAAGTCATAACAGTAACAGTGTTCTAGGGCTATTGTGAGAATTTAGTCAGTTAATCATTTCTACAGTGCCAGGGACACAGCCTGCTACATAACAAGCACAAAATAAGTGTTAGCCAACATGAGGACAATAGTAACTAATTCTCTTATCTCACTAGGAGGTTGTGAGAGAGAGATAGGAGCTATGCACAGGATTACTCTGAAATAAGAAGTAACTGTTTTCCTTGGTAGGAATGTCAAATGGTACAGCTGCTGTGGAAACCAGTATGGTGGCTCCTCAAAAAATTAAAAGGAGAACTACTGTATGAGTCAGCAATTCTGTTTCTGGGTAAATACCCAACAGAATTGAAAACAGGGTCTTGAAGAGATCCTTGCAATCACAAAAATGCAGAAGCAACCCAAGTGTTCATCCACAGGACAAGTGGAGAAGCAAAACATAGTATGTATATACAATGGAGAATTATTCAGGCTTAAAATGAAAGGAAAATATGGTACATGCCATAATATGGATGATCCTTGAGGACATGATGCTAAGTGAAATAGGCCAGACACAAAAAATAAATACTGTATGACTCCATTCACATGAGGTACCTAGAACAGTCAAATTCATAGAGATGAACAGTAGAATGGTGGTTGTCAGGGGTTGGAAGAAGTAGATAATGGGGAGTTTACTGCTTAATGGGCATTGAGTTTTAGTTTTACATGATGAAATGCTTATGGAGATGGATGGTGGTGACAGATGCATAACATTATGAATGCATTTAATGTCACTGAACTGTACACTTAAAAATGGTTAAGATGGTAAATTTTATGCCTGTTTTAACACAATAAATAATTGGGTGGGGAGTAACCATTTTTCATTAAAAAGTAAATTCCCTTATAATAAAGTCCTTTTCCTGGGATTTTTCTAGGTTTAAATTTCTGGGTCCAAATTTCCCAGGCTGCAAATGTCTAGTGGAATTCAAACAATGTTCTCCCCAGAGTGGGGATTCTCCCCATGTTGATGTGGTTTTCTCTCTCACATTCAGTTATTTCTATGAAATTGCTCAAGTCTTTGGCAATACGATAATCTTATTCTCCTGCCCATCTTTCTGCTGCTGGTGCCCTTGGCCTTCAGCTTTCTCATCCATAAGTTCACAGGTGGTTGTGTGATAGGCTCTTACATTTAGGTTTATAATACACTTTGAGTTCACTTTTGTGTATGGTGTGAGAGCAAGGATTAAACGTCTCAGTGCCATTTACTGAAAACCATCCTTTTCCCATTGGATGGTCTTGGTACTCTTCTCAAAAATCAAGTGATGATAAAGATAAGGGTTCTCAACTCTGTTCTGTTGACCTATATGTCCTATGCTTATTCCAATACCACACTATTGTGATTATGTAGCTTTACAATATGCTTTGGAACCAGGAATTTAAGTCCTCGAACTGTGTTCTTTTACAAGGTTGCTTTGGCTATTCTGAGTCCTTTGCATTTCTTATTCAATTTCATATAAATTTTAAGATCAGCTTGTCAATTTTTCCCAAGAACTCTGCTGGGACTTTGATAGGGATTGCACTGAATGTAGAGATCAATTTAAGGAGAACTGCCATTTTAATAATACCATGTCTTCTACTTAGTAAACATGGACCGTTTTTCTATTTATGTAGATCTTCCTTAATTTCCCTCAGGAATGTTTCATACTTTTTAGTATACAAGTCTTTAGCTTCTTTTGTCAAATTTATTCCTGAGCATTTAATTCTTTTTGATGCCTTTGCAAATAGAACTGTTTTGTTTAATTTTACCTTTGGATTCTTCATTGCTAGTATAAAGAACTGTAATTGATTTTGTATATTGATCTTGTCTCCTGCAGTCTTGCTCTACTCTTTTATTAGTTCTAGTACGTTCTTTTGCATGGGTATTCATTAGTATTTTCTACATATCATATGTTGTTGTCTGCACCCACTACCTTTTGAAAGTAGTTCAAATCTTAGATAGACTCAACTCCTGGAAGGAAGAGGGGACTGTGTTGACAGTGACACAATCTTAGATTAGATGGTGTTTCTCCTCCCTTCCCATGCACTGAAAATCACCTGATATGATTAGGCTTTGTGCTCCAAACCAAATCTCATCTTGAATTATAATCCCCAGGTGTTGATGGAGAAACCAGGTGGGAGGTTACTGGGTCATGGGGGCAATTTCTCCCATGCTGTTCTTGTGATAGTGAGTTCTCAGAAGATCTGATGATTTCTTAAGGCAGTCTTCCCTGCTCTTGCACACTTCTCTCTCCTGCCATCCTCTGAAGAGGTGCCTTTCACCATGACTGTAACTTTCCTGAGGTCTCCCAAGCTGTGCAGAACTGTTAGTCAATTAAGCTTCTTTTCTTTATACATTACCCAGTCTCAGGTACTTCTTTAGACTAATACAGCACCATTGAGGATTTGTTTCTCACTTTATTTCACTAAGGTAAAAACAGTGGGGGGAATAAAGTAGAGAAAACAATACCTGCAAGTAGAAAAGACCCAAAGAAAATATGAAACAGCCATGAGCAACTGAGATGCAGCATGCCTTCGAAGTGGGTGCTAGATTCAGGAAATGTCTTCCAGGTTCCCCAAAGGAGAGCGAGCCACCTTAAAATCATTGGCAGTTTGGGTGAAGAATGGCAAGGGCACTGTCTTGCACTACAGGGATCAGCTGTGCCATGTGCCACATAACTTCTTTGAACCTCAGTTTCCTCGTCTGTTTAAGTTGAAAAATGAGATTTGCCCTACCCACAGCTCCCCACCTTCACAGTCACAGCTCAGAGAGAAGGTGTCAGCACATGTGTATGGTGCCCTGAGGCACGTGGACAGTTTCTTGCCACCAGAAACCACCAGCCCAGGGGCCCGCCACCCAGGCTACCTCTGGGGTATCCTCAGAGCTGAGAGGAGGATCCATGCTGCCACCTGCCCAAAGCCCACTTGTGGTGCTCTGGGAAGGTCAGATTTCAACATTAAATGACATGAGCTGAAAGTTGACGGAGTTTTGAGACTTGTAGTAGGAAAGAGGATTTGTTATCAGCTTATTCTTGTGGGAGGACCTGAAGTCGTCTCAGTACTTATTTGTGGCTTGCCTTCGAAAGCATGGAGGAGGCTAATTCCTCCAACCCGACACAACACACAAATTGTCCTTCTTCTGCCTTTCCTTCTCTCATCGCGGGTGAGCGAGTGGGAGAGACAAAGGAAGCAATGACAGCAAGGTGAAATGAAAGGAAGGGGAGACCACGAAGGATTGGCCTTCTGACACCCCTCAGAGGATGGCTTCAGAGATGTTTCTGCTCATTGTGGGCACTGAGAAAGGCCACGATTTTTTTTCTAGAAAAGAGTGAGACTTTGGCAAGAATGAAGGCAAGGAGAGAAGATGCATGAAAATGTGTTGGCCTGCTCCTGAATTGTTCCCAGGACATGGCTGGGGGAAAATAGAAATCAAAGATCCATCAAGTCATGCTCTTTGCAGGCTACAGGTGGCAGTGTCCTGAAACTGTCCCCAGATACCCTTACCTGCAGAACCTCATTAAGGGGCCAGTGTGGGCTGGGAAGGCAGGACAGAGGGGGAAACAAAAACCTTTCTTCCTTCCCACTCTACAAGGTCACAGTTAATATTTTATAATCCATTCAGTTCACAAGGGAGGGGCAAGGAAAGAAAAGAGGTGTGGAAGGCAGGAAAGGAAGCCAAAAGACTAGAAATAATGTTTTCTCTCCACTGCAACCCACATGGTTTAAACCCATTAAACTCCAAGGTGATTATAGAAATTAGACACCTTTTAAGGAGTGGAACACTGGAGCCTAGGTGTGCCATGCACAGGCATGCAGGGACGGCTCGGCAAATAAACGCTGACAGCTTCTCACGGCTCAGGGATTAGGAGGAAGCCTGTTTACTTACATTTCATAAACTCTGCCATCACAAAGGGCTCATAAGAAATTACCAGTGCTCGGGTCTTGGCAGCAGTGCCTCTGTCCAGCCTTGGCCTTTTTCTTGTGGACAGTAAATGTGATTTCAGGGAAATGACTTTAAAGATCTGGGAATTTGCATCGCGGGCCATGCGCTCATCTAAGCCACCCCACCCTTGGGGACCAGGCAGCAGGGCGGACAATGGGAGCCAGCGGAGGGAGCGCCAAGCCTCCGATTCTGCAGGAACTTTAGGCGTCCCCATCAGTCAGTGGGCTCAACTTCTACCCCCAGCCTTCTACCTTGGCCATGGTGACTGTGCTGGGGGCACCTCTCAGAGGATTCACCAGTGCCAGAACTGTGTTGGATTCGATGGACAGAAGGACCTGGTTCGGGTTTGCCTCAGGGTCTTAGTCAAGATGGGAAAATGTAAATTACATGAAATCAACTGTAGAACACAAAATAGTACATCATGAAGAGCTAAGCTGATGTGTAACACAAGGAACTGGGCAGAAGGAAACCCACAATAGGAAACTGAGGCAGGCTTTCTATAAGAGGTGGGCTTTACAAGAGGGCAGAGTGGGCAGAGGGAAGCCCCTCTGGTGACCTTCATGAACTCATGAGAATATTTTCCCACAGCTATGAGGATGCCAAAAGGTATTTCCTGCAGCAGATATAAAACCTGCAGCTGCTTCCCCCACGACGAGCCTTCTCGGGAACAATTCAGGCAGAAACCACTTTGGCTGCCCAAGGGCTGGACTCTGATCTAGGCTCACAGTTAATTGCAAGATGTGTGTATCAAGGGCTTTGCACCAACTGGGATAGGTTGTCCCATCTCCTGTTGCCCTATCTCAGGCCACTATAAGTCAATAGAAGTTTAAAGCATCTGTGGGCCTAAGAGAGAGCAGGGCTATGTGCATTGTCAGGACTGGAAAGAAACCAGGGCAGCATTAATCCAGTGAGGTGGGGGCTTCCATCATGCTCTAAGGCCACTCTGCAATAATGACAGGTTGGAAGCTTCTAAGCAGAAACCCTGAGGTCCCTAGAGACCATCAAATAGGGTGAGGGTTGCACTGTGGAAAAGTGTAGGAAAGATGGGCCTGGACAATCTTGCCCCAGGCTTAGTCCAGAGGGGGAAAGAAGGATCTTGTATCTCCTTCCTGACTTGCAACTCTGATTATGAAGTTAAGAGACATCAGAGGACTCCAAGGAAGGCCCTGGGACTCTAGACTGCAGAGAAGAGCCTAACTCAGTTGCTTATAGAAGCTCTTTGGAGTTCCGCCTGTGTAGGTCTGATGGAGGCATTACTGGAGAGTCACTACACTCCAGGCCAACTATTACAACCCACGATTGATGTCATATAGAGGCACATGCAAGTGCAGGGTACATTCTCTCTGGGAAGGAGAAATGAACAGGGCAAGGGGAACACTGAGTTGAGTCTTGCAAGAGGAATAGTATTTCCAGAGCTGGTGAAGGCTCTGAGCTCACTGACTAGGTGCCTTTTACATTCAAAGGCCAATGTGTTTCCTACCCTAAGGAAAAGTTCAACTGTTAGACACTTATTCACCCCTAACCAGAGAGAGAACTGCCAAAACCCCCAGGCAGCGTAGATCTCTTCCAGCTATCATCTGTCTCCCGCTGGAGAAAGGCCAAGTGCTAGGACAAAAGGGAATCAAGGACAACTGGACAGACCCTGACACTGGGCAGGTCTGCCCCTCGGTGCCAAGACCCGAGCACCTTGCTCAGAAAGTCATCTGTTCAGTGAGCAGCACTGGCAGAGAGGCTCTAGTGGGACATTGAGCCCAGTGAACCCCATATGGATCCTAGTTGGCTATAAAGAATCTCTAGGCATGGGAAATGGATAGGGGCTGGAATACTAAAGAATATGAAGACAGGACATTTCCATTTTATTAATACCTTTGAGACTTTTCAAACGGCTATAGTTGAAGCCTCAGGACAGTCCTGAGAATGAAGCTGAGAGGGAGTACTGTCTCCATGTCACAGATAAGAAAATAAGGCTCAAAGAGATCATGTACCTGCCCTGAGGTCCTATGGCTAGTCAGAGAAAGAACAGAGAGCAGAACTTACTTCTCCTTTTCCCCTAAGGGCCTGTAAGTAAGTCACTAAACCTTACTATTGGGGGTAGGGGGCAAGCAGGCTCATCTGTGGAGTCCTTGACCACTGTGTAGAAGTAGGTGAGTTAAATTAAAAGACACTGGTTTGATAACTATTGATAATTAATACGTGAATTAGTCTTCCAATTTTCAAAATACTTTTTACATTTAATGAGCTACCCAGCTGGTCCTTCTGAAGCCAAAGGAGAATTGCATTTTAAAACCAAATTCAATTTTCCAGGATTTTTTGGTACGTAACAGAAAACTTCCTGTATGCAAGTCAAAGGTTAGTGATCAGTGGAAATGCTTTGATGGTATTTATTTTAAGCCAAGATATCCTCTCTATTGAAAAAAATCTTTTTTCCAAGTTTTCGCTTTTGAGTCATTTAGCACTCTTACTAAAAAATAAATGAGTTAAGTAAATAAGGGCAGGGGAACTGGGAACCACTTTGATCTGAAGCTTTCAACAAATGACATTGTCCAGAGTGTGTCCTGATCAAATTCAGTGTTTTGAAATGCAGAGCTTCTCAAATATTCGATACCTAACACGTGACTAACAGGTTTGAGTTTTGTCATGATCCCTAACTCAGCAAGTTACACAGGATGTGCCAACTAAAGCCCTCTTTCCACGGACCACACAACACTGTGAGCTCTCAGCCTTCTGGGAGGGCAGAGGGTACAATCGCCTCCCAGGACAATGTCTTTCATGACGTGTTTTTCCTATCTCTCATTGCAGCCATATGTCTTCATTGCTGTATAAAAGAACACCTGCATTACCAGGCATCGGTTGTGTTTATCAACCTTTAATGGGATTTTGTCAATTCAAGTTCCTGGGGTTCCCTTGGCCAACTGGAGGTGAGATTTTCTGTACTCTTTTTCTGATGAATTTAGCAAGGAGGTATCAGACAAGGAGGGTAGTTTGATGAAAGCCCACGGCCTCTGACTCACCTGGCCCAGCCTGCTCTTCATCCTGTGCCTTGAAACTTCTCCAAGTTGGGATAAATATGGCCAGGAAGGCTGGGTCTCCAGGAGCAAGATGCCACTGGATTCCTGCCTCAATCATTTCTTGAATATCAGATACATCTCTCCTGACCTAAAAAGAATTCACTTCAGGAGAAGGGACACAGAACAGGCTAAGAATGGCCTTCCATGCTAAGCGGAGGAAAGCCCAATGCCCTGCGCATGATGAGATTTTACAAGCTGCCTGTGAACTGGTAGATGAAAGTGGAAATAGGGCTGTTCTAACAATCATCACTCAATGACTACGTCGGAAATACACAGAGAATGTGGGGCCCCTCTTGAATCCCATCCAGGGGGACCCTGGCTATTAAGGTGCTCTAAGTTCTTGCTTATAATATGGTACTTTTAATGGGATTCCTGAAGGGGTCTTGCCCATGTGTAGACCCTCAGGGCAGTGCTGTCATGTTGCTGCAGTAGCTACACAGTTGACACCCCGCCTCCCTGCTTTTAAAGTTTCAATCATATATGTAAACTCCTACCAAGAAGAACCCCAAATTAAGCCATCTTAAATGTTTTTTAATTAGAAAAATGCTACACGCTTCCATTTTTACATTTTTCAATGTGATATGTACATCCAAGAAACCTAAAAGCTGAGACTCTCGAACTTGAACATGCAGAAGAAGCCCCTACAAGGTTTATTAAGATCACCTGGGCCTCAGCCCAGAGATTCAACTCCAGGAAGCGATTTTTTTTAAAATTAATTAATTAATTTTTAAATTGCATTTTAGGTTTTGGGGTATATCCAGGAAGTGATTTTGATGAGAAGCAATGGTTCTGAGGGCCATTGAGAAACACTGTCGTGTGGAGCTAGGCATCACTGCATATTGCTGGGGAAACTGATCGTAAGCCCTAATGGCAGGGCAGGCCCCAGAGCCTATATCCAATGGCTAGAGCATGCTGAGCCCAGTGCAGACAGGAGGATTGCTGCTCAGCCAACTTGGAGGAGCTGATTGACTCTGAACAAAGGATGACAGCTGATCTGTTAGGAAACAGGTCTGCCCTTATGGTTCTCACACAGTACTGCCACCAGAAATGAATCCCAGCCATCCCACTGGGTGGGTAGGGGCACTGGACTCTTTGGAAGAAGGGGAGTTATTTCATTTACCATCAGACACCATCTTCCCATGACAGCTGAGGATGTCTGTGACTCAGGCCTCCTTCCAGGCATTGTCTTTGTCTCCCAGGAGATGCTGTTTTGATCTCGCACCTGCTGACTCAGTTCCCTCTGCCAGGGCCCCACACTGTAAGTAAAGACCCACAGTCTAACATGCTTCATGTTCATTTTCTTTTATTTTTTGAGACAGAGTCCTCCTGCTCTGTTGCCGAGGCTGGAGTGCAATGGCACAATCTCAGCTCTCTTGTGCCTCAGCCTCCCAAGTAGCTGGGATTACAGGCATGCGCCACCACGCCCAGCTCATTTTT